ATGGGAATTTCAAATATTTTCCATAACATAACAACTATTTCATTGTAATTTGTCAATAATATTGAACGAATGAATCGATAGCATACTTTGTCCGCAAATCAATGTTGTATATTTTAGTTTTTTTGTGAAATTAAATGGTTTTTGGGCGACGCGGAAATTGTTTTTTTCTGTTATTCCTGTCAGGAATAATTTGCATGAATCTGCATAACGATATAAAATTCCGAATAGCAGTTTTTTCGCTCTGGAAAATGCCCTGTGCAAAGGTTGAAGGGTGCTCTAGGGTTGCTGGCACATCAAAAGAAATTAATATACGCAATACATTGAAGGGGAGGTCCTTTACATTGATGCCAGGTCAAGGAAAACCGACACCAAGCAAACATTTTCATATTCACGTACCTTGGACCACTGTGCCCCGAGGCCCGAATTAATGAACACTCTCTCGCGATAGAAGAAGAGAGGCAGCGGAGCGGCAAACAGGCAGACAAGCAAACATGAGCGAACACGTCGACTGCCAACAGCACGTGTCGTCGCTGCGCTGCGTGGGCGGAGAGGGGGGCGGGGAAGGGAGACCAGTCAGCCAAAATGTCACTCAAGGAAAACCAAATAAAAGTACGCAAACGAAAAAAAAACAAATAGAACTAAAGCTAGAGCTTCCCTGGCCGTGTCCCGGGTCCTGTCAACCCTGCCAACTGGGCCAAAAGCAGACTGTTGCTTCTTCTGTCTCCCACCTCGCTCTCGCTGCAACTCGCTCTCTCCATTTACTTCTTTTCTGCTTCTTTACTTTGTTTCTGTTGTTGCTGCTCAATTTAGTCCATTGGCCCGCTCCAACAGACAATTACTCATGGGGTTACCACTGGGGGTGGAAGTGCATGACACACAATATCCCTTATATCCCCTCCATTAACATGCACATGGAGCTGGAGGTGAACCGAAATCGTTTTTGTGGCTATCCGGGTGGTGGGCGGTGCTCGGTTGCAGGTTCTCTGCCCTCACTTTTCAGCTCTCGCTCTCTCTAAAAAATAAGCAGGGTCGTGTCCGTGTGTGCTGACCGCATTCAAAGAGCCAAGGAGCCACTTGGCCCCAATATTCCACCAATTAAAGGATTCCAGCCGGATGGAGAGATCAGCAACCGCAGAGCAGAGCAGAGCAGAGATCTAGATCATCGTTAGATTTCCCCCCACAGATGTCATGGAGATGGCATTTTAATTAATTTAATTAAAAGTTTAATTACATTTCTGTTTTGCGCCGGATTTCACAGCCATGAACTCTGGCCTATGACAAGCTCCGTGACATCTGCGAGGCCCATTAAAGCTGTACGAATTTCATAATGCCAGTTCGCTGTCAGAAAAGTTTTTTGGTGGAGCCACGCATGAGGGGAAGGTGGGGGCTGATCTCTGACCAGCGAAACATTTTCATTTCAGCGCCGCGCTGCCGCGACCAACTAATTTAATTCTGATTTTGATTCGGATTCGGGTTTGCTTTAACATGCTCGTACATATACTGACCCACAAGCGGTGACAATTTAATTAATTTGAGATTTGTGGCCATCAAACAAAAGCTAAAACAATAGAAAGAGAGTCCAGCGGAGCGCAGATACAATGAAAATTTATTTGATTCGACTTCTACCAAAAACCACACCACCCACCACCCACACGGCAACCCGAACCCAGTCGCAGTTCCACTTCCACCACCCACTGGCCACTTGTATACGTATATGTAACCGCCGTGCCGTCTGGTGTCCATCCTCCCTCCCCTGAGAGGTCTGCTGTGAGCTGGGGTTTATCATTCTGATCACGTAACTTGTGTGTGCCACCAGCACTTTTTCATTTTCATTCACTTAGCTTAACTCTCAGAGAGCGAGAGAGAGAGACAGAGAGACAGAGAGACAGCGAGCTACTGCTCTAGAAACTTATAGAGTCTCTTGTCTTATAATGATTTCTCTTGACGCTTCGGCGATTTGCGTGGGTTGTGATTTCTGCTCTGGCTTTCGCTTTCGCTTTTGCTTGGGTCTCGCATCATTAACCGGCGATGGCGGGGGCTGTCTCCCGAACCACGGCCCTCGACCCTCGACCCTCGGCCCCCGGACCATCGGCCAAAGTGGTTGGCCAACTGACTGACATTGAAATCACCGTGCGACTGTCCGCACTCGTATGTCTGTATCTGTGTCTACGAGTACATCTGTATCTGTATCTGTAGTTTGGTCTGCCCTGGAATTTGATAAGTTGTAATTTAATTAAAGTTTAATTGGCCGGCAAGCAAGTTTCGTCAACTTATGTATGCAATGAATATTTTATCATTTTGAACATCGTTGAAATTCACCCGAGATTTCTGAGGAGCTTGCGGCTTTGTAAAGTCAGTGAACTCTGCTAAATGGCTAAAACCAAGTTCAATCTTCAAAGGGAATAAGTTTTACAATGAAACCAAAGACTTTTACTGGTAGATCTCAGTTGGTTTTGCGAAGAAATAAGGAATATGTTTGCATCGTTAAGGTATCTTAGGCTAGATCCTTTTGTACCTGTTCCCACAAAATTTTTGGCTGAAAAATGCAACTGTATCTGTGGATACCCCCTTCACAATGAATCGGTACACCTGGAAGTTTCTTTTGTGTTGCATAAGCCCCACTTCAATTAGCGTTCAACCATTTTCCCCACCCATTCTAGGGGTCCATTCATTTGTTTTTGCAGGATGTTATTAAATATTTTATTACAAACTTTCTCACCCACTAGGATAATGGGTTTTTTTCGCCTTTTCTTCGTCTGCCTCTGTCTCTGCGTCTGCCTCTTAGCCGGGCTAATCACCGAGCAACGGATGATAAAAGTTTTGCACCTCTCTGCCCGCTTTCATCAGCTTTCAGCCATATTGAAGCTCTAGCCAAGAATTTTTTCTGTTCTTCTGCTGATTCCGTCGGCGCTGGCAGGGAGCATTATTAATTTGCACCAAAGAGGAGATTACGATCCCGTGCATAAGTTTTTAACTACTTTTGTGGCGGTGTGGGTCGAACGGGGTGGCTGGACGATGGAGTAACTTTGGAGCCAAAGCTGTCGACAGCGCAGTTTGCACCTGCCTTCTTCTGCCTTTTGGCAACGGGCTTCGGTTCTGGCTCTGCACCTGTTTTGTTACCTCTGCCACATGCCACACGCAATCTAATTTAGTTGGAGAAATACGTGCAAAGCGTGAAAATGGGAAATGGAAAAAGCCCAAAATGGGGGCAGGCCACACCCCCGTACTGGGTTGGAGGGTAGTGGCATGGGCCCGTCCGTTATAATTCGCCTAATTCTCTAATGTGCTAATGCTCAAAGCCGTCTAATCCGATAAAGCAGCTCTAAAATATATACTCGTATTCGCAGCACACAAAACGAGTCCTGTGCTCCCCTAATGATCAGCGAAGAGTGTGCAGTCGGTGTGCAGTGTGCACCTGTCAAAGGTGGGGCAATGCACGCAGCAATTATTCCAAGGGTAGTGCCACTCCCACTCCCACTCCGACCCTCTTTTGCCAACGTGTTTGCAGGGTCCTCTCAGGGATTTGTGCTCGTTATTTCTGAGGCTATAGCCTCGTTCCGGGTGCCTCTATGCATCTTCAAACTGTATTCTCCATTTGAATTATTCATTCCTTTTGTCGCTGCTGCATCTCCAGATGCCACGCTCGAGGGTTGTTGCGTCCTTCAGGGTTGTAGCAGGCAACAGGCGACGCAGAAACACCCCCCACTCCTCGTTGGCTTTGTGCATTTGGCAGCCAGGCCTGAAAGCCGCCTCAAAGCCAGCCCAGGCTAAGCCCATTGTAGCTGTTGCTCTGTTGCTCGGTTGCTCCGTTGCTCGACAAATCCAAAAGCAATTTCAGCAGCATTAATCATTCCGCCAGAAAACACACACCCACACCCCCTCTATACACACTCCACACTCTCCTGTCACGCTTATCTCCCGTCCGGCCATTTCGGGTTAATGTTGACAAAACGCATTTTAAGCACTTCAGAATTTTCCATCTTTTGTTTTACTTTTGTTTTACCAACCGGACAGCAGCCACAGAGCCTCTCCATCCACATGTGTGCTTGATTCTGATTTGAATGCTCGGGCTGGCAAATTTGCATTGGAAATACATACATACATATATGCATTAGCTGGGGGGACTGGAGGACCACAGGATCGCCCTCAATGCTATCCTGACCAAACCAGACCGAAGTGGAATCCAAGTGGCCAGCACCACCACCACCACCACCACCACCATAAGCTTTTGTTTGCTGCGGCCCTTTTGCCACTACTATCATTGTGATTGTGTGTCCATCCCCAGGTCTGTCACTCCCCTTCACCCTGCTGATGAGTGTGTGCCTGTCTAACCTTTTGAAAATCTTCCACATGGGGCAGAAAGAGGCCATAATCGAAACTGGCAGAGGCAGAGATGTATGAGATTTGAAATGGACACTGTGAATGGATCCCCATCGCCACCGGAGGCTTGGGCTCAGCATATAAATTGAACATAGCCGAGAGGAGAATTCTGAAAGGTGACTTTTATTAATTGTTATGCGTTTGCAAATAAAAGCAGATCAATTTGCAATAGGAAGAGAAAGACAATGAATTTCATGAAAAGGATGTAATTTCTCTCTGAAAGTCTCTAAGTGGATGTGTGTAACACCTAGAAGGAAGCGTCTCCGTCCCTTAAAGTAACATATGATCAGTATCCATAGCCGAGTCTACATATATAGCCATGTCTGTCAGCCCGTCTGTTCGTCTGCTCTCAGACGCTTGCTCATTCTCAATCTCCCACACACATTTCCCTTCCCTTCCCTTCCCACTCTTACAATCATTCTATAAACTCCATAATTTCATGTATTATTGATGAGGATTTGGCACTACATTATCGCATCTGTATTATTTAGGAACTATGTTTATCTATGCATGTGCACACGCTTATCCCTGGAACAGATGCCTCACACAACTCAGCAGATGACACACACTGCTATCCCCCGAAAACAAACCCAATTAATATTCATTTAAGCCAGACTCACCCACAATACTCTCCACCATGCAGACAAATCCCTTAGTTAGTGAGAAAACTTTCGCGTTGGGGTTTTCCTCGTTTTTTATTCGGTTTTTTTCACTATTTTTTCCTCAATTTGTTGGTTTTGTTTTAGCTTGGTTTATTTTGGTTTTGTTAGGGTTTGTTGTTCCCGAGTTTTCCACTGCTGCTGCTGCTGAAAATGCACGACAAATTAACAGAGCCCAGGGAGCGAGGGAGAGAGGCGGCGGCAGTCAGAGCGGGAGGGGGAAAAAAAAAATAGAAAGAAAGAATAGAAAAGATGAAAATGAAAATGAAATGCTTTCCGTGGCAGCCGTGGTATCCTTCTGTCGGGGCAAGCCACGCCCGCGGCTTGGACAGTAGAAACAACCAAATCGAAAAATACAAAATTTAACAAAATAAAAAAAATAAAAATGGGGAAACTGCGGGAAAACTAAAACTCTGTCACTTATTTTTTTGCGGGGTGGTGGTTCGGGCTGTGAGAGAGTTTTGATTCGAGCATTTGTCTTTCATATAGACCCCCACGCACACCTCATCCAGCCCCTCGCTGCAGTTATGTTGGTTTCGTCGCACAGCGGGAACCGTTTTTATTTTGCGGAATCCTATTCTCTTTTGGTAATTGTCTGCGACACTGACACCTTTAGTCAAATATTTTTCGTCATTTCACCTTTTTTTTGTTTCTTTTGCGTCTTAAGCCGTGTATTTTACGGTCTGTTGTTCGTTTCAACCCCCTTTCGGGTTCACTTCACCTCACGCCTACTCACACGCTGGGTGACCGTTCACTTGGCTTTTTGAATGGACTATGCGGACCTTTACCGCTGCCGACACCGCTACCGATACCGCTACCGTTATTTCGTTGAATGAACTGGCGAAAAAAAACAACACCGAAAACACACAATGGAGCTTTGTTACACCAACAACACAACTGTAAGGTGAGCAAAGCTTTTGCCAGCCGCTCTCTCGGCTTTGACTTAGTCTCTGTCTCTCTCTCATTTGCTTACTCTTTACCCCTAATTTGGCAAACAGCAGCCGGCGCAACAACGCCAACGCAACACATACCCTGCTTCGAGCTTCGTTTCCATCCCAAAAATGGCAAACAAGTCAAACCACCCCCCTTTAGCCGTAAACCTCGTCGATGTGCGCTGCTTCGCTCTCTAGCTGTACGCATGCTCGAAAGCTGCGCTCCAAAGCTCTGTGTGCTGCGGGAGAGAGTTGGGTGGTTGGGTGGGTGTGAGGTATGGCTCTGGGCAGGGTTGAAGCGGGCGTTGAGTGGGTTGTTTTCGTTTGCTGTCACATTGCTTTGATTCCCGTTACCGTTCCCCTCTGCTACTGTTGTTGTTGTTGTTGTTGTTGTTGTTGTTGTTGTTGTTGTTGTTGTTGTTGCTGTTGAATGTGCACTTTGTTGAATGTGCATTGCGCTTCCTCTGGCCGTGTGCTTTTGTTGCTACTGCAAATTGCCTCGTAGCATTTAAGTCGAATTATGAAAAAGACTGTGTGTGAGGGAGGCGGCGATGTCCCCCAGTACGTGCCCCGTTCCGTCAGGGGGTTTGGGTACATGAATACGGCTGCATTTTAATTAATATTGATTGTGAGTTATTTTCGCAGGGGTGTGCAGGAGCAGGTGTGGTTTTAATTTAGTTTTCCAAATGCATATGTGTGTTTGTTTTGTGTGTGTGTGTGTGTTTGTGTGTCGGCCGGGGGCAACCCCATAACCCACTTGCAAGCTATGTGATTATGGATAAATGTTTGCCCATTACAGGGTACACAAAGTCAGCTTCATCATGGGGTATCATCATGCAAATGCAAATGAAGGGGGAAGCCGGCGCAGCGGAGATGCCAAATTTGCATTTCAATTCAACAGTCGCTTGGCGCACTCAGCCCTAGCCCCCATCGGCACTCTGCCACAACCATTGGAGGGTCTGTGTTTGCATTGCTTGAACAGCTCTTCGCCCCATCTAGGTCTTGGTATTTTTTCAGTTTTGCTTTAAGTGTGATTCGTTGTTACGCTTGACAGCGCGGTAAAATGTGCACGTGCTGCAAGAGCAACTTTCCCCTGGGTGGGGGTGGCTGGGTGGTTTTATTGAACCTGAAGATTATTAGAAATGCATTTCAGTGTATATTTAAATTTTCCACCTAGCGCTAAATGGAGCCAAATAATCGAGGCAGAGAAACTGTCTCACGAAACTGGCATAGCTTTTCCCTAAATGAAATCATAATTAGTTTCTTGAACTCCGCGCTGAAATTTTACTTCACCAGCACTCTTTTCGAGTGCCAGAGCAACCAGCCTGCTAACACTGATAGCAAGCTAGTGTTCAAAAATTAACTAATTCGTTCCAGGGACATTTATCGGTATTTGCTCTCTGTTTTGGGATTTGTTCTGTTTTTCGTGGAGGGAAATCCTCTCTTAGTGGAGCGATTCCCTACATTCCATGTTTAATATAATTGTGTACTTTAATTACGGCTACTTTTAATTACCCAACCATTGAAAAGGTGAAGTGCAAGTTCACATATATCGGAAACTGTTTTGAAACGGAAACGACGGTATGCTTCGAAAATGCTTGTCAAACCGATATATCCAAAAAATATCGTTATCGCTTCAAAATTGCAAACTATATGGCAGAGCAGAGCTAAAAGTCTTAGTTAGTCAGCATTATTCAATGGAATGTCAAAATTGTGCAATAGGAACGATTGCTCACTTACGTTTTGTTCGTTTCACCTTTTTCGCTAAAACCTTTTTTTTTATAAATTCCAAAACAGGGAGTACTTAAAATTAGCCAGTCATATAGAAAATTAATTCATCAATCGCATAAAATTATGTGTTCAAGGGTGAGGGTCCTGCCTAGTTATATCAAATCGCATATAAAAATCTAGGAATTTGGTTTAACCCAATTAACCCATTGTCGACCAAGGGGGTAATGTATTATCCAGCGATATATTGAAAATTTAATCGTTTTAGCGTAGTTCAGGTGAAAGAATTTGTGTTTTTTTTTTTAATTTCAGAGAAGAGATGGCATGGATTTACAAGAAAAATGTACAATTAGCTATATTTTCCGCCATTTACCTGAAGTAGTTGAACTGTTTTAAAACAGGGGGCCTAAGTGGGCTAAGCTTGATCTACGGTCAGGGCAGCACATAGTTTTTTTTGTTTATTCATAAGAAAAAAGTGAAAAATAATAGAATGGGAAAAAGGCGGACGCAATCCCTGATCGACTCGAACTCGAGCGATAGTGATAGCGGATCGGACACGAAATTGGAGTCGGTGAGTAAGCGATGGGGAGAAAACGCCCGTGCCATTGTCAAGGGGCCGAGTCCCAGGGCTGTGTGCAGCCATTGCGATGTAACAAATCAATGGCAATTTTTCTTTAAACACCAATTAAACATGATAACCGCCCCCGCAGGACCTCCTGTCGTTGGCCAAGAAGCGTAAGAAGCCACAAAATGCCAGCAAGGCGAGCTCACTATCCGATTCCGACTCGGATTGGGCAAACAACAAATCTGGTGCGCCTGCCACGAAGAAGAAGAAGCGTCCGAAGAGGGCCAGCAGGAACTCAAGTTCGTCGGAGTCCAACTGGGACGATGAGAGCCAGGATGAGTCCGTGCAACCTCCGCCTGTGGAAAAGAAGCCCGAGGAGCCACCGAAGACAGGCAACCACAGCGAACATGAGGAGGGCGAGGTCTCCGACAGCGACTCGGACAATTCGAAGTCGAACTCCTCATCTGGCTCCGACTCGTCCAGCTCGTCCTCGTCCAGCTCCGACGCCGAGTTCGATGATGGCTTCGACGACGACATGATGGGCGACGAGGAGGATCGCAAGCGCCTCAATGACCTGTCGGAAAAGGAGCGCGAGACGGAGATCTTTAAACGCATCGAACAACGCGAAATCAGGCGCACCCGATGGGAGATCGAGAGAAAGCTGAAGCTAGCCCGGCGCGGTGAAAGGAGCGAAAAATCCAGGTCAAAAGGGGAAAGGGCAAAAAAGAAGAAAGAGAAGAAGGCCAAAAAAAGCAAGGAATTGCCACCGTCCATGCCACAGCCACCGAACTCCGTGCTTTCTGAACTGGAGCCCAAACCGATTAGCGAAGTTGGAAGCAACAGTCCCCTGCCTCAGTCCTCCAATAGGGATGTGGCTTCAACTTCGGCGGCCGTGGCCAGCATTCTTAACGACCGAGAATCAGATGATCAGGCTGGCGCTGGCATGGGCGACTATTTCGATCACAAAGAACGGTCCAAGGAGCGAAAGAAGAATGTGGAGGCCAACAAAACCGATGACAAGCGAAGCAATGCCATGGCCCTACTGAAGGCCAAGCGGGAAGGCAAGGCCAAGAGAGGTAAGCACGTGCATTGCTCCCCGCTCTGGAAATGGGCTTATTTGGAATATAATTAACTTTTTGCAGAGGAAGAGGAAGCCAAGAGGCAAGCCGAACGCGATCGAGACGACAAAGAGGAACTTGAGAGCGTGTCAGGCTGCAAGTCGGCTGTGAAGCTGAAAGCCTCAGAGATTTACTCGGACGACTCGGGCAGCAGTGACTGGGACGAGGATGAGAAGCCAACGGGCAAACGGTCGCGTTCGATTAGCAGCAAGGCTTCCAGCGAGTCTGAGGATGATGACAAGACCACCAAAAGTCCTGTGTTCATATCGAACCGCGAAGATCTGAACAAATTGCGTCTGTCGCGCCACAAGATGGAGCGTTTCGTCAATTTGCCCATTTTCGAGAGCACAGTTCTGAACTGTTTTGTGAGGATAAGCATTGGAAACAATGGCCAGAAGCCAGTCTATAGAGTCGCTGAGATTACCGGCGTAGTGGAGACGGGCAAGATTTACAGCCTAGGCACCACAAGAACCAATCGCGGCCTTCGCCTGAAGCACGGCACTCAGGAGCGCGTCTTCCGGCTGGAGTTCATCTCCAATCAGGAGTTCACAGAGAACGAGTTCAAGAAATGGCATGAGGTCTGCCAGCATGCGCACGTACAGATGCCCTCTATCGAACTCATTGAAATTAAGGCGAACGATATCAAGAAGGCCCTGAACTACGAGTTCAAGGACGAGGATGTGGACAAAATTGTGGAGGAGAAGAACCGCTTCCGCAACCGTCCCACCAACTATGCAATGAAGAAGACCTGCCTAATGAAGGAGAGAGACGCCGCCATGCTCCGGGGTGACTACGACATTGCCCAGGACCTGAGCCAGCAGATCGATGAACTGGAGAACCGAGCCTCTGAGCTGGACAAACGAAGATCGCACACACTGAATCTGATTTCATACATTAATGACCGTAACCGCAAGAAGAACGTTCAAGATGCCGAAAAGGCCATCATGGAGGAGGCCCGGGCCAACAAGGGCCAGAAGATATCAGATCCGTTCACACGTCGCATCACTCAACCGCGCATGGGCTTCAAGGGTGCTAAGAAGGAAGAAGAGGATCCGCAGCTAGCACCACTGCCTCCACCGCCGCCTGGCAAGAAAAGGCCAAACGAGGCCGGCTCCTCAAATTCGAAGCCCACAGACGCAAAGGACTTTAGCCTGTACTCGCTGCACGACTTTGATATAGACTTGGATGTGCCTCTACCGGGTGAGTATTGGCTCCAGTAAGCATCGACTTAAATCTCTAAATCATCGATTTATTTCCCTGCAGTTAACAGCACAAATTCAGTGCCAAAGCCGGCGAATAAGCCAGCCGAAACCGTCTCCAAGCGGTCGCTTAACCTGGAGGACTACAAGAAGAAGCGCGGCCTCATCTAGAGCTTCAGATTCAAACCATATTGACAAAGCTCTTGCGTTTTGCGTCCTAGTTAGTGTAGTTAAGCATACCGTGCATAAATCGACTAAAGTGACATTTGTTAACGGAAAAACGAAAAACAAAACTAAAGTTAGTAAACGAGTTCCAGTTCGTTGCAGTTTCTGTGTTGTATTAGATGGACAGAACACAAACCATACTGTTGCTGGAAAGAGGATGATTAGGGATATTTCAATTGTTATTATTTCATCGATTATCTTATCAGAAAATTTCCATTTGTGTTTGTCTCTGTGTATTACTTTTTTTATTAGAATTCAATACTTAGAAAAATGTACTATAACTCCACTCCTTATGTATTCAAATATCACAGTTATTTTACTAGTACTTAAGTTGAAAATTGTATTATATAGCTGCCACCTTCCCAATAATCATCCTCCATGCGATGTTCAATAAATTTATACGATGATGATGATGATAACTTATATAGAATTAGTTAATTAAACAGCAACAACTCAGGCATATGGCGAGATGGTTTATGAGATTCCAGGGACAAATATACACAGGCTGATTTAATGGGATTTATGCAGCAAGCATACTATCCTTTGGTTGTAATCGTTCAATGCTGTACTAGTTTAAGCTCAGTTCATCAATTTTAGCAGCATGCCTATACTATATACCTACTATACACATATACATTAATAACAATACAAATAAACAAAGAATTGTACTATTCAAATAATTCTGTAATTATTCTTCGTTCTTGCAGAAAAGCCAAGATCTCGGGGTTACTTTTGAAAGATATTAAATACATTATAATTACTGAAACCATAATTCGCTGGCTCTCTTGGCGCCATTTTCAACATAAATTGAAAAGTAAACTTCTTATGGCAGAGGCTTCCGCGGTCTCCTCTGTTTGGGTTAGGTTAAGGGTGGCTCAGTTGGTGGCTCTCTTAATTGGTTTGCTGGCTGTTTGTGCAGCTGTTGAACTCCTTTCATGTTCTCACATTTAATTCAATTAATTCGATGAAATTGTCTTTTAATTGAACCCGATCGCGTTTCGAGTGGTTTCGTCGGCAGCGAAATAACATTTTCAGCAGAATCCACGCATCAGTGAGGGAGGTTCCAAATTCAACGGTTGATAGCTTTAAAATTGTTCCTAAATGGGAAAGACGGTGCTGTATATTTGTGGAACATTTAACTAACATCTTAAGTGCATTCTCTTAACGACTTTTGTAGAGATTTGTACAACTTTCTGTACTCAAATGACTATGTATTGTATGTGGATGGGAATAAACTTCAATTGAATGTTCTATAATGCATTTCCGCTTGAATATTTCCAACATTTCATTCATTCACTGTCAGGGAATTTCGGACGCTTCGGTCCCATCTTCCCATCTCCAGGCAACCAACGAGATCCCATCCCAGAACATATTGTTCCCAAAATGTTGAATGCGACTGATCCGATCAGAATCGGAATGGTGATGATGATGATGACGATGGGGGAGTTGGAGAATCAAGAGCCTGTCGGGTGGGAGGGGAATGGAGGGCGGCTCTGCTTCCCATTGTGGCACAATGACATTTTATCTCAAAATATGCAACAGCAGCACGTTCTCTGAAGCGGAGAGTGTAATAGATCAGTAGCGGAATCTCAATTCAGAATTCGAAAAACTACCGATGCGTGGCCCATGCAAATGCTGTTCTGCTCTTGTTGTTGCCGCTGCTGCAGCCCGTCTGTGTGTATGCGTGTGTGTGATTGGTGCATCTTACACTTACATCTGGAGCTGTTGCATATGTGGGGGGAGAATCCCCTTGAGGGCGACTAATCAACCGGCATATTACCCCAGGCAAGTGGCTTCATCGTCGCCTCTGTCTCTGTCACTGCCCCTCGGCTTTGGCGTCTTTCATTGTCTGCGCTTCGAATCTACAGCTACAGCTACAACTACAGCTCTGTGTGCGTGTGTCGGTTTTAGGGGACAGACAGACGCTTCCAGTGGCCCATGGCAGATCACAGCTCCAGCGATCAGTTCAAAGTTGACTTCGTCGCGGACCAGACCGGACCGAACCCATTCCGGCACGACACGCGACCCTGAATTAGAAAATTATCCAATCTCGGACTAATTTAATTTAAAAAATTAAAGAACAAATGAAAATGTTACCCAAAAAGTGCGCCATTGATTGCTGGATATTTGTGGGCCTCGTCCTGGAATTAGTGCACGGCAAGCTGGACTTCAACAACGATCTGGAGAACAGCCAGAAGTTCCAGAGTATTCCAACTACAGTGAAAACATTCGAAAACGATACAGTCCTGCTGCCCTGCAGCTTGAATAGTAAGTGGGAGGGCATCTAATCCTTGTTGACTGCTAACTGAAGAGAGCGATTTATGGGGAGATCTTAGAGGATTAGCCTTGAAACGGTCAAAGAATTTCCAGCCAGCGAAATTGGCCATAACAATGGCATTTAATTCGATTGAAGAAATGAGCACACAATGGAACAAATGAAGGTATTATTATCCGTGCATAATAGAGTCCGAGGGAGCGAGTCCAGAAACGGGGATTCTGTTAATTGAACGCTACGCACATATGTAGACCGAACTCATGTCATTCCGGTGACCCCTCCCCGAACAGTAAGCCCAAGCCCTCATCTCCATTAAAGGATTATTGACAGCAACAATTATGTTTTGATGGGGTTAACAATATGAAAGAGATGCAACCATAAAGATGGAGAGAAAGAGCGAGAGCAATGCGGTATTTTGATTTAACAAGATACTCAATAGAGCAATACATGAAATGAAACTACAGATACCCTCATATTACGTGTTTAGTGTAGGACATGTTCAAAGCCATTCAATTCCATTGCAGCTCCATTCCGATACGTGCGCTGGCACCGAGACGATGTGGCCCTAGTGGACTCCCGGCACCCGGAGATTCTGCCCCCAGACCGCATCATGCTCTGGCCCAATGGCAGCCTGCAGGTGGCGAACGTACAGTCGGAGGACACCGGGGACTACTACTGCGAGATGAACTCGGACTCGGGCCATGTGGTGCAGCAGCACGCCATCGAGGTGCAGCTGGCGCCCCGCGTCCTAATCGAACCCAGCGGATTGACGGAGCTGCAGATTGGAGCCACCTTCGAGGTGGTGTGCGAGGCCCAGGGCGTGCCCCAGCCGGTGATAAGCTGGCGACGGAATGGACATACCCTGGGTCTCCAAGGTAGCAGCACGGGCAACCGGCAGAGCCATGTCACGGAGATCAAGTCGCGGAGTCAATCGGGTCTGATCGAGTGCCTGGCCAGCAATGGCGTGGGGGAGCAGGCCGTCGCTTCCGTCTATCTACATGTGCTGTGTGAGTCCCATCTGGAAGACGCTCTTAACACTGAAATCATTGAATAATCGCTGAAATTCCAGTTACCCCCGAGGTGAATCTCCCCCAATCGGTGGTCTATACCAAGCTGGGGGCGCGTGCCCATCTTGAGTGCATTGTGGAGGCGGCGCCGGCGGCTACGGTAAAGTGGTTCCACCACGGCCTGCCCGTGGCCTTGGGCACACACTCGTCCAGCCACGAGACCGAGCTGCAGTCCAACCGCTCCCTAGACCACTACGTGAACGACGTCCGCCACCTGCTGGTGATCAAGAACGTGCGCAATGCGGACATGGGCCAGTACGAGTGCCGAGCAACCAACAGGATCGGTGCGAGGAGTGCCAGCATTGAGCTGACCGGCCGGCCCATGCCGTGCATCTTCAAGATTAATCCGGGCACCCAGAGCTCCACGTCGCATGTGCTGGTGTGGCAGACGGAGAGCCTGATGCCCATCATGGAGTTCAAGCTGAAGTTCCGCCAGATCCCGTCCAACAATGTCACCAGGCAGATACGAACCAACTGGACAGAGCTCACGATCCCTGCCCAGGCCACAAATGGTACTGCAAGAGAACTTCAACCGGCATCGCTCAAAATAACCCACTCCGATTCTTTCTTCCGTAGGACTCATCTACATCACCACGTATACGCTGCATGGCCTCCAGCCGGCCAGTCTCTACGAGGTCTCCGTCCTGGGGAGAAACAGTTTCGGATGGAGCGACAATAGCAAAATCGTACGCTTCGCCACGGGTGGAGAGGGTAAGTGTTTACCGGATATGGGCTTCAGCATTTCGTGTCCTCCATTAAGCTCCCTATTGTTCCGCCAACAGTCGAGCTGCCCAACTATTCAACGGAATCTGAGCTGCTGAACGATGTCACCGAGGAGGAAGACATCCAGAATGAAATTACCCAGAGATCGGATACTCTGCGGGCCAGCATGATGTTCAATTCGGGATCAGCTGAGGGCCGTGGGCTCAGTGGGGCCTTGATCTATTCCATATGCCTAATATTAGTCTTCAAATACCAGTAGGAATCCATAATTCATAATGCTTTTGTACTGAACCAAATAAATGAGTATCACCAAATTCTTGAGAAGGAAATGCTTGCATCATTAAGGGGAAATGAATCAAGTATCTGCAGTGATAGACAGATAAGGTTCCATGTGATAGTATGACTAAATACAAACAAAAATGACTAAGATGAGATTATTTACTGGTAGCATAGTCAAATAATCTATTGGCGGTACATTTTCACAAATAATTTCTGACGAATTCTAAATATGTATCTGTAATACTTATTGATTTAGAATAATATCAGTACTTAGAAAAGAAATTGGGCACGAAGTCTGTTTTAAATTTCAAAAAATGTATTTTTATATCTTATGAACTCGGCATTAGGATTATGGTGGACTAGACCCATGCTCAAAATTAGGATCTATGACTTTAATGCCAAGGTGTCGGGGGAAGTGTTTTTCCCCTATAAGGAAATCAATATTATGTAAATAATAAGTTTTAAATTGAATTTAAAGAAAGAATAGAAATATCAGATTCCGAGCATAACATGGGAAAATCGTTTGTATGACACCAAAGCCTGGACATCTGATATACTAGTATATATGGCTCTATGCCAGGGCTTCCTCTATGGACCGCTAACATCAATTGGCAGTGACATTGCGGCGCAGCTAACGCATCTTTCTTGTTCCCCATCCGCATCTCCATCCCGCCCCAAAGCGCGGGCTTCGCTCGCCTTGGCCCCCGCTTCGTGCCCTATGCCGATGGATACTATGTAGCCCCATGGCTTTTGGCACCACAACGGAAACGGAACACTGTTTACCTGAAACAGCAGCAAACACACACGAGGCACAGACAGAGACGGAGAGAGAGAAAGAGAGAAATAGCGAGGGCATTGGGAGAGTTGGCGCTCGCTGGCTCGTTTCCATCGTTTCTGGCAGTGGCGGCGGCAACGGCAGCGCTTTTGGCATCCCAGCACGCGCTCCACTGGCCAGTTCTCGTCTGAAAAGCATCGCGTACGGGCACGAAAAGAATCTGAGGCGCAAAGGTCTCAATTAAGTCTCCATCTAACACCAGCAGGCCTTCGGCTTCGCCCTCGCACAACCTTAGACTTTAAGCAACCAAATCACAGCTGTGCCAAAGATGAACCACTCTCGCGGAAATCTGTAAAATTAAGCTCAAATAGCCTTTTAGCCGTGGCCAAAACTGGGCGAAAGCGTTGCAAGTGCAAGTGTTAAACGGTTTCGTGTTCACGTAAAAACAAAAATTCAAAGGAAAACCAAAAACAAAAAAAAAAAACAAGAAACAAAATATAAAAAAAGCACTACAATACATCGTCTTTTGCCTTTTTTAACGCTTTAACCGAATTTTGTTGTGGTTGTTGTTGCTGCTGCTGCTGCTGGCCGCGGCTCTGCGGCAGCTCTCATCTCTCGTCGGTATCTGGGGGTACGGGACCAGCAAAACCAGTTTTCTTCCTCTAGGCCCAGGCTAAATAAATACAACAAAACCGAGACCAACAACAACATAAAAAAAAAAACAATCTTCTCATCGCATCCATTCTGTAACTGGCCGTGAAGCCTGCCCCAGACTCTACCCAATGAACCTCGACTCTGACTTCATCTTGCGGCCGTGCTTGGGTTCGGACTTGGGCCCGGTTCGATGATTCATAATAATTGCGCACAAATATGTGGCAAGTGTGACAGATGTGCCCCACATCCTCCGCTCCGCCTTAGAATGCATTTTGGCACTGCACTCAATCTGCAGCCAAAATTCAGATTCAGTTTCAGTTCTCTCTCTCTTTCTCTGTCTCTGTCTGCACTCTGCCACATTCTATAAATATGTACGAATATGTAAAATAGTTGTCGCTTTGCCGGCAAACTGGCAGCAGCAAAAATATATACCCGTACGTACTTACATACCTCAAGCAACACGAAAGCGAAGTGAAGCCAAGAAAATCGCCAAACGAAAGCGAAAATATCAGGAGGAGGAGGAGGAGGAGGAGGAGCAGTTACAGCGGCAGCGGAAGAAGGGCCAGCTGCTGCAGAGGATGTGCAGACGGTGGACGGTGGAGACAGGGTGGCAAAGGTAGAGGAGGGAGAACTGCAAACAAACGTTCAATGGAAAACAAATTTCTTACTTGTTTCGGGCTGATCCATCAGATACCCTTACAGATGGATCGATGCTACACTTCATTCGAGCAAATGAGAGATTGGATTCTTGTTGATATCTATGTGATGTAGTGAAAAAGGGTATATAAAACAAAGTTTTCAATTCATTTTTTCTGGCGGCAAAGTGCAAGTGCAGTACACTGCCCCCCAAAAAGCATTCCACACACAGATTGAAGCCAGCTGCAGCAGCAGCCGCTGCTCTTCCGCTCACTCTCCAACGCCTGCACACACAAGTGCAGTAATTGTGCTTGTGTGTAGATGTGTGTGTGTGTAAACTTTCTGAGCGCAATGTAAATAAACAAAACGCCAAAGAAGAAACACCAACAAAAACAACAACAACAGAAAAAGAGGCACTGATTTGAAGAGAACGAAGAAGAAGAATAGAAGACAAAACGACAAACAACAACAAAAAGAACTAAGTTTGCACCTTTCCCTATACTCTTCACGCTTCACCCAATCTCTCCCCACACCCAGTCTCTGTTTCTTTGATTTTCTTAATTGTTATACAGCCTGGATCCGTACGATGGCTGGGTGGTGCCAGGGCTGACGTCTGTTTGAGCGGTAAATCTTGTTTTAGTGATAGTCAAGAGCTTTTGTAGTCAAGTCGTTAGAGGAAGGTGTCAACGGGTGTACTATATTTGAAATGCTTGACACTTCCAAATGTACATATGTACATGTGTTCGTTCTGTGTATAGTTGTGGGAAAATGAGTACTAGCATGTGAATGTGCGGAAATTACAGCTCGTCAGTTAGTTTTCGCTGTGGTGTGTGAAATGTAGGGGGTTACGTGCTACATGGGCGGGGATATCTAATTTTGTAGATTACATTACTCGATAACCGTGGCATATGAGAAATTGTTTGATATTAACTCCATCGAATATGTTTATTTTTTCAGATATTTCCTAATAGACATACATATGTACATATGTATGTATATGTCCCAAGATAATATCTAAGAAAAATCTAATAAATAATTAAATTATCTTGGATGCTCTCTGTCTAATAACCTGATGGAATCATCAAACGAGTATTTCGATGTTGCAATTCTAACATCACAGGGTGTCTGAAGTGGAAGTATCGATGCACATCTGAAGTTTATTACGATCGGGAAATAATATGTTTGTTTCTTAGATATTAGCCGAATAAAACCATAGCATACATCTAGGAGAAAGACAACTAACAGTACGATGGCTGAAGTAGTGTAGAAGAGCTGGAAAATATTATTCCTTTATAGACTTTTGCTGGCAAAAAGAGTGTCAGTAATTCGTCTATACGTGCATGCAAAAGAAACTTTTTCAAATGTTGTTTTTCAAATATTTTTGCAAAATGCATCAGCTATGGATTATGATCGTCAGACATTGCGAAATTGTTTGTTTTATGAGTTGAGCACACGAACAAATATGTGCATACGAACACAGCAACAGACGGAGAGGAGTATTCATGTCGAATCGTGCACTGTGCCGGTGCGGCTCGTATGAGAGCTATGCAAGGCATCTGTATGCAAACAGCTTCTAAATTAGTGGCCCGAATTTGTAGTCTAGTGTTCACTACACGGTCTGTACAAGTGTGGCCTGACTGTATAGGCATTTTTTCATTGGCTTTTCTGGTTGTACAATTTTTTCGCATTTGCACATTAATTTATTTATATGCATAAACATTTGCATGCTATTCGACTTGGCACACCCCTGACCCAACAGAACCCCCTTCCCACTGCAGACCCCACTTCGACCCACTTTACTGGCATTGAGTCGGACCAAGAGAGGGAGAGAGCCTACCATGAGCTGTAAATTGGACAACAGCAGCAGCAACAGCAGCAGCAATAGCAAATGGCGATTTTTCGCATAGAGATCATAATATCTTCGAGATACGACTTATCGACGGAGAGCAAATGGCAAACAGACCAGACCAGACCAGCCATGAGTGCGCCTTGCATAACCCGGCCAAGTGTTCGACTGCTCGACGCGAATGTTTACCAAACGATTGAAAATTTGTCCACTCCACGCCACGGCACGGCACGGCAGTAGTTGCGAAAAATCGTTTGTAGTCCGCGCTTTTCCATCAATTTTGTACAGCTCAATTAGATGTTTCCGGCCCGGAGCGCTTTTCGCATATAAAACGCATAAGCGAAATTAAGAAATCATAAAACCAAAAAAAATTATCAATGTCTTCGATTGTCTTGGCGGCTCCCGTTTTGGGGCCGCGCTTGTAGATTGTATTTTGGGTAGCAAATTAATTAAGTACCAACCAAACATATTAATTGCAGTTAACGACCTACCTCCGACAGCACCAAAACCAAATCAAACAGCAACAGAAACAGCCCATAAACCAACACAGAAAGTACAAAATCAAATCAAAAGCAAAAGCAATCAACATGATTAAGGCGAGAGATTCGACGTGGCTGTTGCTCATTTGTCTGTTAATTGGACAATTTTATGGTAAGTCAAGGACTCAGCTTAATGATCTATTTAATCAAAGAACTAATTCGAACTAATTCCAAGAGATTTCCACCAAAGGGGGTTTGACATCACGAGCTAAGCGATTGATTGGGTAACCGAGAATCCAGGGGGAATTTTTGTAGTAATAGAAATAGGAATTTCCAGAAAAATGGGAATATACGTTTGGGAAATTTACTGCACTACTACTTTGCACTACTTCGTGTATAAATATACATATAGTGCTCTTTGTGCAAGTCACCTTTCACATATTATATTGCATCGACTCTTCAATTCTTATCTGTCACTTAACCAACTTAAGCCATATTGCACGATCCATAGGTAATGTTAATTTCGAGGATTTCATTCAACTAAACCCCGAGTAAATGCTTTTCTTTGGTTGGCATTTATGTTCTCAAAGTGTCACGACCTTTTAATGTCTTCTGTTTAATGAATTTACGTAAGTTTCCAGAAATTATGAATTGA